TTCGTTAGAATTAAATACCTGTGCACAAGGCACCAAATTTTTACTTGGACACGGCCAAGATATAAAATTGGAATAATCTCTACAAGAGATTTTTAATTCCATGTATCCCCTATTCCCCCTAAAGAAATAAAGTGCGAGAGAAAAATATAGATCCGAAAGTCGCAGAATCGGGAATCGAACCCGAGACCTTTCGCTTGCCGGGCGACTGCTCTTCCAACTGAGCTATTCAGATCCTTTCGATTCTATACTTTTCTCTGTTATATATATTAATGTTGGTAAATAAACGCCTTTAAGCCAGCGTGTATAAATTAAGAGTTTAACTAGGCTCTGTAATATATAAATATAAATTTAACATATATAAGATAGGCAATAAGAGCCAAATCGCGGATGACAGTGCGTTATTCTAAACGAAACTAAATTTTTTCGTTAGAATTAAATACCTGTGCACAAGGCACCAAATTTTTACTTGGACACGGCCAAGATATAAAATTGGAATAATCTCTACAAGAGATTTTTAATTCCATGTATCCCCTATTCCCCCTAAAGAAATAAAGTGCGAGAGAAAAATATAGATCCGAAAGTCGCAGAATCGGGAATCGAACCCGAGACCTTTCGCTTGCCGGGCGACTGCTCTTCCAACTGAGCTATTCAGATCCTTTCGATTCTATACTTTTCTCTGTTATATATATTAATGTTGGTAAATAAACGCCTTTAAGCCAGCGTGTATAAATTAAGAGTTTAACTAGGCTCTGTAATATATAAATATAAATTTAACATATATAAGATAGGCAATAAGAGCCAAATCGCGGATGACAGTGCGTTATTCTAAACGAAACTAAATTTTTTCGTTAGAATTAAATACCTGTGCACAAGGCACCAAATTTTTACTTGGACACGGCCAAGATATAAAATTGGAATAATCTCTACAAGAGATTTTTAATTCCATGTATCCCCTATTCCCCCTAAAGAAATAAAGTGCGAGAGAAAAATATAGATCCGAAAGTCGCAGAATCGGGAATCGAACCCGAGACCTTTCGCTTGCCGGGCGACTGCTCTTCCAACTGAGCTATTCAGATCCTTTCGATTCTATACTTTTCTCTGTTATATATATTAATGTTGGTAAATAAACGCCTTTAAGCCAGCGTGTATAAATTAAGAGTTTAACTAGGCTCTGTAATATATAAATATAAATTTAACATATATAAGATAGGCAATAAGAGCCAAATCGCGGATGACAGTGCGTTATTCTAAACGAAACTAAATTTTTTCGTTAGAATTAAATACCTGTGCACAAGGCACCAAATTTTTACTTGGACACGGCCAAGATATAAAATTGGAATAATCTCTACAAGAGATTTTTAATTCCATGTATCCCCTATTCCCCCTAAAGAAATAAAGTGCGAGAGAAAAATATAGATCCGAAAGTCGCAGAATCGGGAATCGAACCCGAGACCTTTCGCTTGCCGGGCGACTGCTCTTCCAACTGAGCTATTCAGATCCTTTCGATTCTATACTTTTCTCTGTTATATATATTAATGTTGGTAAATAAACGCCTTTAAGCCAGCGTGTATAAATTAAGAGTTTAACTAGGCTCTGTAATATATAAATATAAATTTAACATATATAAGATAGGCAATAAGAGCCAAATCGCGGATGACAGTGCGTTATTCTAAACGAAACTAAATTTTTTCGTTAGAATTAAATACCTGTGCACAAGGCACCAAATTTTTATTCTATACTTTTCCTGTTATATATATTAATGTTGGTAAATAAACGCCTTTAAGCCAGCGTGTATAAATTAAGAGTTTAACTAGGCTCTGTAATATATAAATATAAATTTAACATATATAAGATAGGCAATAAGAGCCAAATCGCGGATGACAGTGCGTTATTCTAAACGAAACTAAATTTTTTCGTTAGAATTAAATACCTGTGCACAAGGCACCAAATTTTTATTCTATACTTTTCTCTGTTATATATATTAATGTTGGTAAATAAACGCCTTTAAGCCAGCGTGTATAAATTAAGAGTTTAACTATTATAAAAATTTGGTGCCTTGTGCACAGGTATTTAATTCTAACGAAAAAATTTAGTTTCGTTTAGAATAACGCACTGTCATCCGCGATTTGGCTCTTATTGCCTATCTTATATATGTTAAATTTATATTTATATATTACAGAGCCTAGTTAAACTCTTAATTTATACACGCTGGCTTAAAGGCGTTTATTTACCAACATTAATATATATAACAGAGAAAAGTATAGAATCGAAAGGATCTGAATAGCTCAGTTGGAAGAGCAGTCGCCCGGCAAGCGAAAGGTCTCGGGTTCGATTCCCGATTCTGCGACTTTCGGATCTATATTTTTCTCTCGCACTTTATTTCTTTAGGGGGAATAGGGGATACATGGAATTAAAAATCTCTTGTAGAGATTATTCCAATTTTATATCTTGGCCGTGTCCAAGTAAAAATTTGGTGCCTTGTGCACAGGTATTTAATTCTAACGAAAAAATTTAGTTTCGTTTAGAATAACGCACTGTCATCCGCGATTTGGCTCTTATTGCCTATCTTATATATGTTAAATTTATATTTATATATTACAGAGCCTAGTTAAACTCTTAATTTATACACGCTGGCTTAAAGGCGTTTATTTACCAACATTAATATATATAACAGAGAAAAGTATAGAATCGAAAGGATCTGAATAGCTCAGTTGGAAGAGCAGTCGCCCGGCAAGCGAAAGGTCTCGGGTTCGATTCCCGATTCTGCGACTTTCGGATCTATATTTTTCTCTCGCACTTTATTTCTTTAGGGGGAATAGGGGATACATGGAATTAAAAATCTCTTGTAGAGATTATTCCAATTTTATATCTTGGCCGTGTCCAAGTAAAAATTTGGTGCCTTGTGCACAGGTATTTAATTCTAACGAAAAAATTTAGTTTCGTTTAGAATAACGCACTGTCATCCGCGATTTGGCTCTTATTGCCTATCTTATATATGTTAAATTTATATTTATATATTACAGAGCCTAGTTAAACTCTTAATTTATACACGCTGGCTTAAAGGCGTTTATTTACCAACATTAATATATATAACAGAGAAAAGTATAGAATCGAAAGGATCTGAATAGCTCAGTTGGAAGAGCAGTCGCCCGGCAAGCGAAAGGTCTCGGGTTCGATTCCCGATTCTGCGACTTTCGGATCTATATTTTTCTCTCGCACTTTATTTCTTTAGGGGGAATAGGGGATACATGGAATTAAAAATCTCTTGTAGAGATTATTCCAATTTTATATCTTGGCCGTGTCCAAGTAAAAATTTGGTGCCTTGTGCACAGGTATTTAATTCTAACGAAAAAATTTAGTTTCGTTTAGAATAACGCACTGTCATCCGCGATTTGGCTCTTATTGCCTATCTTATATATGTTAAATTTATATTTATATATTACAGAGCCTAGTTAAACTCTTAATTTATACACGCTGGCTTAAAGGCGTTTATTTACCAACATTAATATATATAACAGAGAAAAGTATAGAATCGAAAGGATCTGAATAGCTCAGTTGGAAGAGCAGTCGCCCGGCAAGCGAAAGGTCTCGGGTTCGATTCCCGATTCTGCGACTTTCGGATCTATATTTTTCTCTCGCACTTTATTTCTTTAGGGGGAATAGGGGATACATGGAATTAAAAATCTCTTGTAGAGATTATTCCAATTTTATATCTTGGCCGTGTCCAAGTAAAAATTTGGTGCCTTGTGCACAGGTATTTAATTCTAACGAAAAAATTTAGTTTCGTTTAGAATAACGCACTGTCATCCGCGATTTGGCTCTTATTGCCTATCTTATATATGTTAAATTTATATTTATATATTACAGAGCCTAGTTAAACTCTTAATTAATATATTCATGATATTTGATCAGACTTTTCAGATAACTGTAATCTGTTTCACACATTAAATTTCAATTATTTTGGAAATCTGAGGTGCTAATAAAATGTGATTTGCGGAACTGTTTTCAGATCATCCAAAAATCAATAAGAAACATTTTATCTGGTTTGAAATAATTTTTTGCTGTAAACTTATGTGTTATTATAATCTCTCTTCAATATTAATATTTTTGTATAAGCGCATTTGTGTGTGTGTATGCGTGTGTGCGTGCGTGCGTGCGTGTGTGTGTGTGTGTGTGTGTGTGTGTGTGTGTTAAATACAGATAACATGAAAAGATGGATAAATAATATGTAATATGATTTATTGTTAGTCAAGTAAATTCAACGAATATTCAAAGCCAATTTATCAAAAATGAAGACTCATGTAAAAAGAATTATTTTACAATTTTGATTTATTTATTTTTAAAATATTAGCCTGTTGTCTCTTGTTTCACAAAGTATAAATCATTCTATATTTTTATTATTCTAATTTATTATATTATTATGATAATTTTTTTCTTGAGTAGTCTCTCTCTCTCTCTCTCTTTATTTCTCTCTCTTTCTCTCTTTATCTTTTCTATTTAAAAATTTATGATGTTATATAATAACTAATTTACGAATGTTAAATATGAAATTTGTAAAGTATTGATTTTTAATGAATGTGTTGAGAATGTTTTTCTGAAAAGAAAGAAATTTTCATAAAACATTAAAATATACTTATTGTTAATATACATTTTATGTTGTACATTTCATACATATGTATATACATCCTTGATGCAATATGCATCTACAGAATGTGAAATATACATATGCAAATGTAGCAAGAATAATAGAAATACATAGAAGATCCAAGATACATAATATGCATATGTACATCTATTTTAGTACAATCTATGTACGAGGTGTGATCAAAAAGTAAGGTAACTTTTTGAATTTCGCGCGCTCTGTACACTCTAATGTCAAAATGTTTGTTTGGTTGTGTTGGTACACTCGTCACGATCATATGTTCACAGTATTGACTATATAGCATGTGTTGTTTTTATGTGAGAGACATAAAGGTTAGACTTGTGTTTGCGTGCTCGGCGATTTTTTGCTGTTGAAAATAATGGAGCAGAGAGTTTGTATTAATTTTTGTGTAAAAAATGGTATTAAGTGTTCAAAAACTCTTGAAATGTTGACAGTGGCGTACGGTGAATCAACTTTGAGCAAAAAAAATGTTTATAAATGGTATAAGTTATTCCAAGAGGGCCTAGAAAATGTTAACGATGAACCTCGCTCTGGACGCCCCAGCACGTCAAAAACCGACGAAAATGTTCAGGAAGTGAAAGAAATTGTGTTGAAAAATCGTCGAATCACGATTAGAGAAATAGCTGATGATCTTAACATATCGTTCGGCTCATGCCAATCAATTTTAACGGATGTTTTGGGTATGACACGTGTGTCAGCGAAATTCGTTCCAAAACTTAATTTTGATCAGAAGCAGCGTCGCATGAACATCGGCCAAGACATGTTGAACGACGTCAATGATGATCCTGATCTGCTCAAAAGGGTTATAACTGGTGACGAAACATGGGTATATGGTTATGACGTCGAAGGACGACGATTTGCGACGATTGAGGAGATTAAGGCTGCATCGCTGGAGGAGCTCAAGGCAATACCCAAAAGTGCATTTCAGAAATGTTTTGACGACTGGAAAAAGCGCTGGCACAAGTGCATTGTATCAGAGGGGGATTATTTTGAAGGGGATAACATAATTTTGCATGAATAAATGAATATTTTTTTATAAAAATGAAAAGTCACCTTACTTTTTGATCACACCTCGTATATACCTAGATCACAGATAGCACATAGATATTTATCGAAAGTCTATTTTGAGTATCAAATGTCTATGTTTGATTCAAAAAGGTTGGTGTATGTATGTGTGTATATACACATAAAATGTGTCAAATCTGATCAACAACCTCCTCCGTAGTGCAACTTTATTGGATTGTTAATATTGGTGATAATTGAACAAAAATGTATGGATAACATTGATATATAATAATTCCACGAAAAAAGTCATATAAACTTCATCTTTTTTTAATTTGCAGAAAAAAGTTTATATTTTAAAATAATATTAATATAAGATTTGCGAAAAAATTTATCCCACCCCGTGGAGTGTGTCAAAGTATGCAAGACATAAATACAAAATATGACAAATGCGTTTTAAAAGAGACTTTAAACTTGACAATAGAAAAAATTTTCAAATACAACTTTTGACGAAAATATGATTATTTGAAATCATGCAAAATTTTGACTTGAAATACATATGCGTTAATTTTGTTGATTATTTAATTGTAGTGAAACAATTAATTTTTGCTATAACTGACGCAACGACATCGCGTTCGGCTCTTTCAGCAAACATATTTATATTTGTTTGATATTGAGAGCTGAGTATAATATTCTTATTACTTATAGAATATAAATAGAAAATTTCTATTTTAAAAATTATTTTTTTTTAAAAGCAAGTTGCATTTCTAAAAAGCGACAAAATGTCATTAAAAAATATCTAAATATAATATATTTTTTGCAATCTACAAATATTTATGTAATTTAATTTTTATAATTCAAGTTTTATATTTGAAAAAATAAGAATTTAAGTATAAGAAATAATCGCAAGAGAAATATAAATAACAAAAAATAAGAATTTAAATATAAATAGATATAAAAATGTAAATATTAAAAAATATATTTTTATTTAAAATAATATTTTAAAATGCCTTTTTCCCATTTCCTATTTTAAAAATCTAAAAAGCATTTTGCATTTTGCATTTTTAAATAAAAAAGTTCCAATCTTGTGTCGTAAATAATAAATATATAGGTACACATTTTTCGATGATATCTTATTTTAATAATTTTTTGCATAGAATATGAGACAAATCAATTAAGTATAAAAATATATAGTTAATTAAAAAAGTATATAGTTGCACATTGTAAATTACAATTTTTTTAAAATTACAAGAATATGTTGTTCTTCACAGAATATTTTCATGTCATGAAAGAAAAATGCATATAAATAGAATGTGCGGTGTATGATCCATTATATGGAACATTTAAATAAATATAAATATTAATATTTATAATAAATTAGTAAAAATTATAACGCTCTTATATATTGAAATAAAATTGTAAAATTAATGTAAGTACAGGCCAACTCAAGAGCATAAATTATTAAGGTGTTAATGAATATTATAAATTTTTATTACTTCCCAATTTTTCATATAAAAACAATTAAAAACATATTAATACAATTAAATCAAACGTTTCAACTGTACGCAGTCTTCATCAGTGGAGTCATATAATATTAGTCAATTATAAAATTTGAAAAAAACATTTCGACAATGCTAACGATTGCAATTCATACTGTTGATTATAATCATATATAAAATAACACTTGGTTGATGCGAACGATTGCAAACTTTGATGATGTGTAGCATGCATGATTTTGAGGCTGAATACATCATTATATCGATCGTGGATCATTTCAAGATGTTAATGCGGATTATTTCAATGATGACTTTAAATGTGGAAAAACTCTGATTTTATATGATAAATTGGGAAGTAATAAAAATTTATAATATTCATTAACACCTTAATAATTTATGCTCTTGAGTTGGCCTGTACTTACATTAATTTTACAATTTTATTAATATTTATATTTATTTAAATGTTCCATATAATGTTCAATTATCACCAATATTAACAGCAATAATTTCGTCATCAAATCTAAATAATTATCAATTATTTTTAAATATAGAAATTTGTCCAAACGTAACATTTAATTTGCTTTTATATCTTATATTTTAAATATAAATTTTGTCAATACAAATAAACTTATTTAATTTTTTATATTAGATATCATAATAAATATTTATATTTTCCCAAGTATATTTTTTTACAAATAAAATTTAAATGATTATTAATCTTCAGTATATAATCGAGATGTATCTCATTTCAATTTTTAAAATAAATATATATATTTTAAAAATTGAAATGAGATACATCTTGATTTTATACTGAAGATTAATGATCATTTAAATTTTATTTGTAAAAAAATATACTTGGGAAAATATAAATATTTATTATAATATCTAATATAAAAAATTAAATAAGTTTATTTGTATTGACAAAATTTATATTTAAAATATAAGATATAAAAGCAAATTAAATTTTACGTTTGGACAAATTTCTATATTTAAAAATAATTGATTATTATTTAGATTTGATGACGAAATTATTGCTGTTAATATTGGTGATAATTAAACGATTACAAGGAAGGACGATATAATCGATAAGGCCGTGAGGCAAGCCCAAGCCAGCCAAGGAATTAGTGATTGCCCCATGGCTGACACTATCAAAGGCCTTCGCGAAGTCCAGCGAAGCAACGTGTAGTTCTCGACGACGGGACCTGGCGTCCATTAGCAAGGACGCAAGGACGGCGACATTTTCGCCGCACCCATCGTCAAAACAGCGCTGCCGAAGATCTACAAGCTTGGACTCGCGAAGCCTCTGGGCCAAGATTTTGTGCAGATGCCTCACGGCCACGGAGGTAATGGAGATCGGACGGAAATCGCCCGGAAGAGCACATTCGCCCTTCTTGGGTATGAACACCGTCCGACTCACCAGCATGGATACTGGGAATCCTCCGCAATGCAGCACGATGTTGAAGAGGAGAGCTTTGATGGACGCTGGCATTGCTCTCCATAAGCGTACGCTAATGCCGTCCAATCCGGGAGCCGAGTTGAGGGGCAAGTTGATGGCTGCCACCTCCTCGCAGGAGATCGGTGCCCACGTGCCACCCAGCTCACGCTTTGATGGAACTCGCGGAGCCGGAGCGACAGGCACGGAAGCCTGCGCAACAAACGGGCCCCAATGCGCAGACATACGCTGCACATCCGGAACCACGCCTGCATGGTCGGCCCCATCCAAGATCTCCTTGGCCACACGCGACATGTTCGAGCGGAAGAGGCGCTGCACACGCGCATACTCCGCCCGTCGTCGCGCTTTTTTTGCCCGGATTGGCAGCAAAGCGACGCATAGGCGGTCGCAAACGAGAAACAGTCGGAGGGAATACGCCAGTGATCCATGGGCCGACAGCAACAACACTCCGCTGGCCATCCAGCACTCCTAACCCAATCTGAGTCAGGACGCGGGAACTCCATCCCTGGATGGCTTCCACGACTGGGACTAATGCTCGAATAGCGCCGGCAAATGTGCCATACGCATCGCCCCAGCCGGGAGAAGATGGTGAAAGCGGAGGCGAGCCTGGTGATCCACGCGGAGAGATGGCTGACGCTTGAGGGGAGGCCGAAGGACTGGATCCACCAGCGGAAAGAAAAGAACTATCTCCCGACGTGGCGGACAGATCCTCCAGAGCGGCGGCAACAAGGCGTCGGTACCCACCGTTTTTCCGCATACCCTTGATAGCATCAAGAGAGCGGTTCGGAACAACGGTAAGCAGATGTTGGTTGATAAACCGAACGCCTCGATAAACCGCCAAGGCCTCTTCCCTCGCCATCATGCGCTGTTCTTCAGCGCTCCACTGGCGCTTCACCCTCTCGACGTTAATTTCCTCGTTGTATATGGCCTCGTGCGCCCGACGGCGATGAAGACCGAGTCCGTTCTTGGTGCTAAACGCGCGATTGCAATGAGGGCAAGGCATGCGGGGACTCAGGGGCAGGGACAGCCGAGGGCAGTTGTCGACGACGAGCCGCAGCGGGAGGCTGTCGCGAAGGACCAGGGCTGGGTTCAGGAGAGGAGGACGAATGAACGACAGGACCGGCGGCCCGAGGCTGCCGCCGGAGAGAATATCCTTTTTCCTTTGAAGTGCCTGTCGTATGTCGGCTCGAGGGGCTGGCAACCCCACGAACCCAAGCGAGGCGCAAGCGCCCCGCCAAGCCAGAGCCCCGTTGGCCGCCGGTCGAAATTTCCGCCAGCGTTGCCCGACTCTCACCACGAGGAGGTGGGGATGGCACATGGATCCGCCGGTCGCCCGGACGGAGTCCTTAAGAGAGTCATAGTTACTCCCGCCGTTTACCCGCGCTTGCTTGAATTTCTTCACGTTGACATTCAGAGCACTGGGCAGAAATCACATTGCGTCAACACCCGCGAGGGCCATCGCAATGCTTTGTTTTAATTAGACAGTCGGATTCCCCTAGTCCGTGCCAGTTCTGAGCTGAGCGTTGAATGGCGGCCGAAGAGGACGACCACGACGGCTCGCGCCGCCACGGAAGCCTCGCAGCAAGGAAGATCCGCGGGAGGCCAAGGCACGGGACCGAGCTCGGATCCCGGGACCGGCGCGAGAACGCCGACCGTTCACCTCGCCCAGGCCCGGCACGTCAGCCAGACCCGCTTCCCGACCAAGCCCGACACGCCCCGCTCCTCAGAGCCAATCCTTATTCCGAAGTTACGGATCCAATTTGCCGACTTCCCTTACCTACATTATTCTATCGACTAGAGGCTCTTTACCTTGGAGACCTGCTGCGGATATGGGTACGAACCGGCGCGACACCTCCACGTGGCCCTCTCCTGGATTTTCAAGGTCCGAGGGGAAGATCCGGACACCGCCGCAACTGCGGTGCTCTTCGCGTTCCAAACCCTATCTCCCTGCTAGAGGTTTCCAGGGAACTCGAACGCTTATACAGAAAAGAAAACTCTTCCCGGATCTCCCGACGGCGTCTCCAGGTCATTTTGGGTTACCCCGACGAACACTCTTACGAGGGCCCGAAT